TTGGTTTGTCGCATATATCTTTATCAAAGTGCAAAAGTTGATCTTGCTAGGAATAAAAATGTATTTTTAACAAATTTTTAACTGCGACCACTTTTATGTGCGAATCGCCGAAATGAAATGGTATGTAGAAAAGAGGTGTACTTTGAGGGGGTGTGTGAGGCTGAAAGTTGTTTTTATCACAAAATAACTTATGAACTTCTCTTAGTTGGAGATTTAGCTGTAACTTGACATCAAAACATCTAAGTTTCAAGACAGTCGATTTTTGTATTTTTGTCCACCTTCGCGGCACTGTGCGGCGTTGCGAATGAACGCTGCGCACACACACACATATGCTGATATGTTAAAGACGACTGCTGATATCTCGACAGCGAATGTTACACACTCGTTGGCGCCTGCTGTTAGCTATGCAGAGATCAAAAATGCACAGTGGTCTACTGTTAAGAATAAAAGGGGTAAAAAACCAGTAAGGGTTGTTGGTACAAACATTAGCAAAGACTTGGACGTGGCTGTCCGATATAAGTGGTTACATCTAGCGTCGTTCTCGCCATCTGTTTCGGAAGAAAATATAATAAACTATGTTTCCAATCAGGCGGGTTTGAACAAAGATATATTAGTATGCTATAAACTAGTTAAAAAAGATGTGGAAATTTCAAGTCTAAAGCGTGTAAACTTCAAGCTGGGAGTGCCGGAGACAATGTTTTCGAATTTGCTTAGTTCGGAAATCTGGCCCACTAACGTGACGGTCAAACCTTTTCGGTTTTTTCCAAAGGACCAACAACAGCCGCTTCAGACATAGTTAATTCTCCTCCTTTTGCTAATAGCTTAAGGGTATATTTCCAAAATATGTCTGGCATGCGAGCAAAAGCTGATATCGTGCATTCTTTTACTGCGCAGATGGATTACGACGTCTATGTACTTGTTGAGACGTGGTTAACCTCAAACTTTTTTGATGCTGAATTCTTCGATGCTAACCTCTTTAACGTCTTTCGTAAAGACAGGGATGCTGTAAAAACTGGTTGCCAAAGAGGTGGCGGTGTAATCGTTGCTGTCAAGCGCGAACTACGTGCGCTCCTGATCTCTCTAGCTAATGATGATTCACTTCTGGATCAACTTTGCGTCAATATTAGTGGCAACTCTTCAGAAGAATCCCTGTATGTAGTAACCTCATATATACCACCAGGAAGCTCATATGAGTTATACAAAGCACATGCTGATAACATTTCATCATTAGTTTTAAATAATTTGCGTGATAACCATTTATGTGTTCTGGGAGATTTTAATTTATCCAATATTAATTGGGTTAGCAGTGAGTCATGCCCTAGTCTCATAGCTCA